AAAAGTAGAATGGGAGGCAGATCTTTTAGTTATCAGACTCCTCTCCTGTGGAAGCAACTACAGGTTTTAGTCGATGAGGCAGACACCATGTCTACTTTTAAGGCTAGGCTTAAAACTGTCCTTTTTGATAAAGCTTATAGTTAGAGTGGCTCTGGTTATCCTGGGCTATCTCTATAGATATGCTGCTATAGGCTTAAACTTCTGGAGGACATAGGGACCCCCATTTCATCATTCTATCTCTATTCTCCCACTCTGCAATCTCTAATCAATCTCTAACATTCTGCTCTCTGTGCTTTTTCTCATAGTAGCTTCATCTGGTCTGTTCCTGTTTGGCTGTGACTCCATCCTGGAGAGAAATATCAGCTGTGCTGCAGCCATTAACATCTTTGTTTATAGATGTTGGAGATCAGCCTGTTTTTCAAGTGCCTTGAGATGACATGTTGTGAATTGGTGCTATATAAATTAACTGAATTGAACTGAACTGACTGACCAGCAGCAGCTGTCTCATTGATTATAGGAACTCTGATGCAGACATGACCATGTGTGATCACCTTAATAAAGGGATCTCTGCCAGGGAGATCTGTAACTTGGCCTCTTTGGTTCTGGCGTTGCAGCGGAAAATGTGGAGCACAACAGAGTACCTGTCAAAGACCTTCACCCCCCAGGCTTCCTCGAACTCCCTCTGGGGTTGGATTTAGAGAAATAAAGAGGGTAAAGGAGTAATCAGTAAAGGAAAGCCGATCCCTCAGCAGGTTCAGTGCTACTTAGTCTGACCTCAGACAGAGGGGACAGGCGGTCCACATTGACAAAGACTGCTGTGATGCCCACAGTTTGCTTGATTCTCTCTGGACAGAAAACAGATCATTCAGATAGAAACCCACCTTCCTGCTGCTTCAAGAAACCGGAAGTCTGTAGGTACCTGTAAGGAACTGGAAGTTGCCCTTCCCAAATATCTTCTTCTTCTCTGGGGTCTTGGTGGAGAGGATGATGGTGTCCACCACCGTCCAGTTTTCCAAAGTCTTCACGAGCCCCTCGGCCTCAGCCATCATCAGCTCAGCTGTAAATGCACACACCATAAAGACCCCCCCTCTGAGGACCACCTGTCTCATCTGTGGATGCTGGACTCTTTACCGGTGGTCAGGTACTGCTTCCTGCTCCCCCATTTCACATCGGGGTGGACGATGAACACCCTCTGCTGTCCCTGTCCGAGCCCTGCAGGGACCTGCTGCTGGAACAGCTCCTCCACCTCGCTGTCCTCCAGCTCTCCGTCTCCTTCCTCTCCTTCTGTATGTGAACTGGAGTCATTTCTGTTCTTCAGGCTGGAAGCAGAGAGCGCCAGGGTCCTGCTGGCCAGCAGCGTGGGAGCGGCTCCTCTGCAAGGAAACCTGGGGAGAAAACCGCAGGCAGCCGCTGAGCTGCGACCGAGAGGCAGCCGAGAATAAATAAACCTCAGTGTCTTCATTATGCCTCACTGGGTTATCCCAGAGCCGCGTGACGCGACAAGAGAAGCTGCAGAGCAGCAGGTCACCATGGACTGATTTGAAGCTGCGCTTCTTCTCTCTAAGAGTTCAAAGCACAAAGGCTACACTGCCCCCTACTGCCGCGGCGGCGCATTTAGTAGTACTATCTGGGTAGTATGGATGATAGACTCTGCCATATTTAAAAATAAATACAGTAATAAATAAATGTTCAATAAATAAATAAGCATACAATTAATTACCACAAAAAATAAAATAAATAATTAAATTATACAGTGAGACATAAATGTATATATCTCTTTTAATTAGCTTCTTTATTTATTCGCCTTTGTATTAATTAACTTATTTAGTTATTGTCCGTTATAATCTTCAACTTTATTTATTTATTACTTTTTAAGTATTTATTTATGTGCATGTGATAATATTCATTTCTTCAACGCTATTTATTTCTACCTTTGGTTTTTACATTTCTGTATGCATTTCTGCCTTATTATGCAAATATAGAAAGAGGTTGTGTCTTAGAGGGTCAACTTCTGCCCATTGGCAGCTGCTGTTGGTTCATATTCAGAGGTTAGTAGAGTACCCAGACATGGTATTTAAACAGAAGAATCACTGCTTTATTAAAATTTTAGTTAATTAAAAGAAATAGTAGCCATTCAAGAAATTACTCAAGTACCAAAATGTAAATTTACCATAAGAATAGTCAAAACAAACAAGTAATATAGTAAAAAAAATATTCCAGGTAGAAGAAAAACTTTTACAAACCATTTTATAATCCTAAGACTAATAAAACCAGTACTTCCAGTAAAGGATTATTTACTCCTTACTGCTCATTAGCTTGACATCCAAATGTCATGGTAGGTTCAGGTAAATTTGTGAACAAAAATATCACTCATTTTGACACAACTATACATAAAAGCTTCAACATGCTCTATTCTATTTTTCTGGGATATAAACACAAAGAAAGTAAACCAACTATTCAAGTAAGACATTTATAAATTTTATTGTAATGTGATATTATTGGTGGGGTTATGGTACCTTGGTTCATCAAATTGAAATCAGAATTTTATGCAAACTTTTAGAAGTAAAAAAAAAAGGAAATGCAAATTTGCAGTGTTTCCATTGGTTTACATTGAATTAACCAAGTGATGCAATGTAATGTAATGTTGTCATACATCATCGTCCACATTATGTTGTCATGCATGGACTGCAATAAATAGGAAGTAGAGGCTGCAATTAAGTCCACAGATCAGTAATGGAGGAAAGTTCTTATGAATGTCGCTATCGGGCAAGTTTGTCATGCCAGCTAGTAATTGCAATGTTGGTTCCATCCATGTTGACATGCATAACAATAACACCTGTGAAGAAACCAACAGTAGAAACAGCTCATCAGTCATGTGAGGTACATTTTACTTTGAAAGACATGATTCAAGAATATATTTCCCAACCCTGTTTTCCATAATCCTTTTTTACAAAAGCCAAAAACCACCTCAAACAAGCATATTTGAGGATTTTTTTTTCTGCATTTTTCATCAGGCTTTTTATGCAATACTTGAAAATACACTTTAGAGAAAGCTAATATAAACACACTTATTGACTGGATCAGAGTTCTGTGGAGTCTGGTTCTGCTGGAGGTTTCTTTCTGTTAAAAGGGAGTTTTTCCTCTCCACTGTCGCTACAAGCATGCTTAGTGTGAGGGATTGCCTTTGAGTCAATGAGTGATGCAATCAGCTGATTTTTAGATAGAAAACTTTGAATCAATTTGACTGTATGGTCTGGTTGAACTGTCTCTATGACCTCCTTACCCCCCCTGCAATTTACTACTTACTTGCTGACACTTATTTAGAACTGTGTCCTTGTTACCTTTTTACTGTATTTCAGGCATTAAATATTATCTATATAAGATAACTTGTATCATAAGGTATACTGAGGTAACTGATGTTATACAAAAATCTGTGACCTGCCATGTATTGTTACTCACTTGTCTGTTATCTACTAACCTTAACTTCACAGAATTTATACTAGGGCTGCAACTAATGATTATTTGCAAATTATTTCTCGATTATTTTTTCAATTAATTGATTAATAATCTGATGGTAAAGGGTTCCCTAAAAAATACTTTTAGCAAATTTAAACCTAGTGAAAAGATGGTGAAAAAGATTTTATCTTAAATGCAAAATGTATTTATTTATTTTTCTTACAATTTTGGTATAATTGCTCCTCAAGGTGGTTTGCTCTGTCGGCTAAAGGCATGTTTTATAATCTCTTCACTCGTGTTAACGATTAATCGATAACTAAATTAGTTGACGATTATTTAATAACCGATTATACATCCATCCATTTTCTGTCACGCTTATCCGGGTTTCCAGCTGTCTATGAGCAAGAAGCGGGGTACACCTTGGACAGGTTGCCAGTCCATCGCAGGGAACCACAGAGACAAACAGGACAAACAACCATTCACACACACTCACTTACACCTATTTAGAAAAGCCAATTAACCTAACAGTCATGTTAACCTTAACAGACATGCAAACTCCATGCAGAAAGACACCTTCTTGCTGCAAGGCAGCAGTGCTATCCATTGCGGCACTTAGCAGCCCCGATATCCGATAAATCACAATCAATCTGCTTAATTGTTTCAGCCCTGATTTATACCTAAACCTAATGTAACAAAGTTAATATCTAAACCTAGAGAAGTTTATGGTGGAATACATGTGGCGCCCCTTTGGGTCACAATTTTAAGGGGTCACAGGTTTTGTTGTAACACCTGCAGATTCACTGATGTGGTTATGGCCCCCTTTGGCCCCCCTCTGGTGGCGCCACAGCTCTTACCCCTCTTTCACTTTATCATTTCTAATTCTTGCCTCGGTGCTTGTTGATCTCATGCTTCCGATCAACAGGTGGGTGTGTGGCCAAAAAGCAGTCTAACAGGTTAAACCAACCTCCACAGATTCAATTGTTCCTCATCGGAGACTTTTCTGCGCCTGATGTCCTGCTCTGTTCTTCCATTAACTTCTATCCGCAGTTTGTTTTAGTTTGTTTCTATCTGAGGTGACTTAAACCAGGAGACCAGGTAGGATATGTCACAACAAGTCCCAGCATGACTGATCATGTGGAAAGGTGCGCACATGGCGCGGCGCTGGACGAGGAAGTGAGGCCGAACCGACCTGCGCTGTGAGGAGATAACTGTGAGGAGAATGGACGAGTTTCGGTTTGTCAAAACTAAGGAATCCTACATGAAAGAGCCGTTTAGGGCTGTTGTTTGCGCTCTCTTGCGCCAATGAACGCGCAAATGTCGGTGGCGCTGTGGCGCGGCGCGGCACTACTGCTCTGCTGCGCCTGTTTGTGCGCCGCTGTGGGTAAGTTCAATGCAGTTCCCATCGAAAAAAAAGATAGATAATAAAACATATAAATTAAAAAACAACATATACAACATAAAACATTAATCTGGACTAACTTGTGTTTCTCTTTGCATACAGAGGAAGAGTGTGTCCTCGGTATAGTGGGGAACCCGGTGTTACTGCCCTGCCTTTATCCAGACCTAAGCTCATTTCTCAACTTCTCTATCGAGTGGAGAAGAAACGATGAAGCTGTGCTCAGATCACTGTGGAAAGAGGATGGGGACGTGGAGACATGGAGCTTGAATCATGTCAGCATTTCCACTGATGTACTTTCCACTGGAGACCTTTCTCTCACGCTGCCATCTGCTCATCCCAAACTGGACAGGAGCAAATACAGCCTTTTCTTGTTTGCAGGGGAGAATCAGACTGAGCCGCTGTGTACCGTGTCCCTAAGGATTGCAGGTTAGTTCATTGCAGATTAAGAGATTATTTATAGTATACAGTTGGCACCAGTGGTGGTTCTAGACAAAAATGTAGGGGACAAGGAGGGGGCCCGCATGTTTCCATGGGGGCCCAGAAAGATAGATAGCTGCATGAAGTGAAATTTCTATATGATTAGGTTTAATTAAAATTCTATGTCTGGGAATTTTACATATTTTTGACTTAATTTAAGTTAAAATGACAGTTTTCTATTAAATCTGAATTAGAACTTAAGAAAAACTGATCAATTCAGTGTTTACTTTTTAATTTGTTTTGAAAAAAACATTTAGATGATGTAAACAAGGATTCTGTCTCAATACCATTGAAGCTATCACCTTATTGTTTTTAAATAATTAGTAGATATTTAATTTTTTGTTGATAAAAAAAATGAAATAGATCCAAAGGACCTATCATTAACCATGTCTACCATTAGTAGAATAGTATAGAATTTATTTTTGTAATATGTCTTCAGTACAGGGGCTAGTACATGATCTACAAGGGCACTGGGCCCTGTTGGCCCCTGTCTGGAACCACCCATGGTTGGCACTGTTACCTTGAAACAATGAGGTTCAGGGTTTAAATCCCATCTTTGGGTATTTTCTGTTTGCTATGCCCATTCTTTCTGCATCATATGATTTTTAATCTGTCTCTATTCTAGAGAACATTTAAGAGATGTGCGCACAACTGGTTGTCTTCTGTGTTTCTTATGATACAGTTGTGAGATATCCAAGTGTAATTTGCTTGATGACACTAAATTATTTGGTCTACAGGAGCGGCGTTGTGCAAACTTTTTGGACTTTGCATTGAAAATGGTCAAATTGAAAGTACTTGAGAGCCAAAAAGTATAAAAAAAAGAATCTGATTTTATGTAATGCTGTGTTTTTCTTCACCCCCTTCACAATTGATTAATATGTAATATTTTAACAAATTAGTCTGATTATCTGTAGGAGAACACTGCATTTGGTAAACTAAAAGTAGGTACAAATTTAGTGAAATTAGTTTATTTGCACTTGATTTGAAAATGTAAGTGAATGTTCTGCTATTGGAATTAGAATGTTGATCATATGATCATATTTCGGTATACACTTATTTTACGAAAATTAACTCATCTTTAGATCTATTTTTACAGTGAGAGGATTCAAAATTGTACGGCAGGGTAAATGAAAAACAAAAAAAGAGTTTTCCATGATTATATAGCTTGCAAAATAATTTGGGCTGGATTAAAAAAATAAATTGAAAAAATATCAAAAATAAATTGTCAGTGAGAACAGAATTTAAGTAAGTTTGCATTAGAAAATGTTTGCAGTATTAAGTCCATTTTAATTAATAAAATAAAAGCTGATTTTTATGCACCATCCAGGATTTGAATCAAAGTTATTGTTCTAAATTACTAAAAACTGAAAGAGTAAAAAGTCAGATAATTAAAAGATTAACACTGTTTTGTACCAAAAAATGTTCAATAGTAAGAAAATATAAACTTTTCTGTTATATATTGACCTGAATTAAAGTAAAAAAGTATAAAATTGGGGGCCTCATTGAATCAATCAGCCTCGTCTGCTTCTGTCTCCTTGAACCCCAGTCGGCCTCGGCAGATGGCCGCTCACACTGAGCCTGGTTCTGCTGAAGGTTTCTTCCTGTTAAAAGGGAGTTTTTCCTCTTGACTGTCGCTACAAGCATGCTTAGTGTGAGGGATTGCCTTTGACTCAATGCATCGATGCAATCAGCTGATTTTTAGATAGAAAACTTTGAATCAATTTGGCTGTACGATCTGGTTGAATTGTCTCTATAAAGGGCCTTTAGATGACATGTGTTTTGAATTGGTGCTACATAAATAAACTGAATTTAATTGAATTTACACCCTCAAATGGCCCCTGAAGCAGCTGCCTCGACATTTGTCAAACCAACTGCTATTGTCCAAAAAGGAGGGTAAGCCATTGAAGCAAATCACCAAAGAAGCAGGCTATTCACAGGATGTGGTGTTGAAGCAGATTAGTGAAAACTGGAGTGGAAGGAAAATGGGTGGTGGAAAAATGATAATTCGCATGGCTTGCTTCTACAAACACTTATTATACACATCCAGGATTTAATACTTCAAACTGTTCTGTTCCTTTTGTTAAACGGCTCCAGAGGCAGAAACACCATCAGGATCTTACATAGACTGTGCAGAAAACCTACTGGACTATCCCTCAGTGGTGCAAATTCCTCTTTTTAGGTTAAAATAAATGTTTAGTTTTGAGAAGTGGCCTCCATGGTGACTATATCACTATACTAGATTATTATCCAACCATCCTTTCCTGAAATGCACAAGACAGTCAGAAGACTGGAACAATGGCTGTAAAATCAAAAACTCAAACTTTAAATGAGCTTAAAAATATATATATATTTCAGGAGCACCTTTTTAATAAACAAATCAGCATCTAACTACTGATTCTATTCGGCCAGGCAAGATACCTACTAAAATGATAAAAGATCCTTTACTTGTTGCTGTCCCATGGGTGGGGACAGTGATGGGCTTTGGTCCGTCTAGCGGCTTCACTCCAGCAGGTCTGGGTCCTATGCCTGGATCAGACACTTGGGAAACTCAGTCAGTCCAGTGCAGCACAGGTGATAGTGCAGAATCTTAAAACACAATAGAGTTTGTGACAGTAAATCATTACAAAGACATGGCCTCATATTTTGTGTTTGTTGGCTGTTTTTTCAGCAAGTTTCAGCCCCCCCGAAGTGATGAAGGTGCCTTCAGAAGAAAATTCGACCACCTACCTGTGTCACTCCTCAGGGGGCTACCCCCAGCCTCTAGTTCACTGGATCATCAATGACAGCCAGGAGCCCCCCAACGGCTCAGTGGAAACCCAGGCGCTGATTGATTCCCACCTATACAACCTAACAAGCCACCTGACCCTCAACTTCTCCAGCCCTGCCACCGTCTCATGCACCATTGAGAATCAGTCCATGAATGAAACGCTGACATCCAAATGTGAGTCCTTGAGCGGAGCTCGGTCCGATCCAGAAGCACTGCTTCACATCAATCATTTGTGCTTCTGTTTGGTTCGCAGACGGAGAGACCCCCAAGGTGAGGCGGGCGTCAGAGGGCATGTGGATCTTCAGCACCGTCCTGTGCGTGGTGGTCGCCCTCATGGTGATAGCCGGGTTGTGTTATCAGATTAACCTGGACAAGATTAGTAAGAGGAGGAAGAAGGAATTTGAAAAACCACATAGAGGTGAGCAGGTCAAATCCTGTCAGAGAGAACAGACAGAGAACCGTCATGTGTAAAGCCAAGACTGCTCATTTTTATTTTATTTTATTTTTTATAGCAGACTAGATTGTTTTGAAGGGAAAACCATGGTGTTAAATTCTGGAACAGAAGTTCCTGCTTTATATTTTTGGTTGAACGTCTTTTTAAGAGCGGGAATCCAGGTAGAAAAAGGGTCCCAGCGTTCTCGTGCACCTTACTCTTCTAATTGGTCCGTCTTTAAGAGTCGTTTTTCCACAATGGCGGTCATACAAACAAAACAAGCCGGTAAGGTACCAAACAGGAAATACACATAGTGTAGAACGGATGTAGATTTGACCAATCAGAGGCCTCCAACCTGCGGCACTGTCTGCGGTCACCTACAATTTTGGAGAGGTGCACCAGGGTGTCTGCAGAACGGGTCGTGACATATCTGTGTTAGCTGCGACACACGCAGACGACCTGGTTTCTGAGTATAAACCAGCCTTTAGCTGGAGCTACAGCTCAAGTAGCATTCTGGTGTCACTGCGAAGCTGATAGATACATGAGTACATGTCCCTGCTGGTACAGTTCACAGTGTTGGCAATGCTTTTTAAGCATTATCATTTGAACTGTTGGTTTTTCTAGACATTACAGCCTGATCAGGATTTCTTAATAGCTCCATCAATGGCCACCATCTGGCTTTCTAGTCGTTTAGCGGTAGATGGTAGCTCGTCTGTTAATGTCAACTCATGCGACCGGGGCTGGGGTTCTATTTAGGCTAAACAAGGGTGCTCAAAACAAATAAAGATGGACGCTTGGATTATATAGACTTGTTTTTATCATAACTGTATTTTGGGATTTTTGGTATTTGCATCAAATTTGACTAAGCACCATTAACTAAGAGGCACAAGGATGAGCCGCGGAGATGATTTCCATATTTCAGATGAGATCATCTGTTAAACAGACACACAGGATTCATTGTAATCTCCATGCCATATAAGGGACAAATGACAAACATGAGAAGACTGATCTCTAGTCAATTAGTTGGCTTCTTTTTACATGTTGAAACATGGCAGTGAGGGTATCATGCTTTGGAGGGGCTTTTCTTTAACATCACCAGGGAAGTGGGTCCAAGATGACTGAAAGATATAATGAAATCCAGGGCAATGTTGGCAGAAAAACTTTTAGAAGCTGTGAAAGAGATGGGCGGAGGTTCCCTTTTCAGCAGGAGAAAGACCTTAACCATACTGACTGAGCAGGAAATGGATGGTTCAGATCAAAGCGTATCTGTGTGTTTAAGCCTAGATCTAAAACCAAGTGAGAATCTGCGGCAAAGCCCGGCTTATTTTGTGATTCTCTGTCACAAAAAGTTCCAATAAAATTCACTGAAGTTCGTGGCAACATGACAAAAAAGTCCAAAGCTAAAGGATTGTAAATAATGAAGTATGGGACAGTATTTTAAATAGATTAAATTAAACTATTATAAGAGTAAATTACAAAGATGCAGGAAGTAATGTATTATTTAATAATTGTGACAAAACAAGTTTTGTTTTCTGAACGAATGTCTGTTTTCATCAGGAAGACGACAGCGGTACAAGCAGGCAGCCGAGGTGATGATGGAGGAATCAAAGGAGACTGACGTGTGACAAAAGGACAAAGGGACAAAAAAAAACACCTGATCCACCATCAATTTTTACTGCAAGTCCAAAGAAGCACTGATGTTTTATTTGTTTTGAATTATTTAGCGCATCATATTTGTTAGATATTTACCTGACTCTTTCTTTTTGCCCCTTATGAAAGTGTGAAATAGCAAGGACTATTTTCTTAAGTGTGAGATTTGATGTCAACCCATTATAACCCAACTCAGGGATTATAATTTTATTGCAGATCTTGATATTTAGTTTTGTTTCAAATAAAACCCCAAACCATTATAAAATCCATACACACAAATATAATGAAAGCACAGCATGTTCTACTCTTAATGGAGAGATTACAAAATGTAAAAAAAGAAAAAAAAGTCTGATTGCAGGAAGTGAAGAAAACTTTATAATAGATTGTTAAAAATATTTTTCTTAACAAAACTGCTTTTAACACTGTTAGTTTAACCTGTTTCTGTGAACTGCTTCACATCTGTGTTGCATGGAGTCACTAAAACCCGTAAACAGATGGATGTACTAGATACAAAACCTCTTTCTTGGTTTTGAATCAGAAACAGTAAGGTTTCTGTTTCCCCAGGTTTAAATCCTCAGATTTCATGGGCAATTTATAATGCAATCTGAAAACAACTTTCTTCTCACGTATGAGTGCCTTTTTGGTCCTTTTATTGTCAAAGGTATAGGGTAGGACTTTCGCAAATTTTTTAAAAGATCAGCCCTCTCCACTTTAAAACAAAACAATGCACAACCAGCACATGATTAAACGCATGTGAGAGTTTCGGTTTGCATCGCTCATACAAGTGTACTTTCCAAAAGATTTCCAATTTTTCCACTATGTCATCCTTACCACTGATAAGTAAGGGGTCGAACACGTAGGACGGTCTTACGTAAACATGTCATCAGAATGATTAACAAATTAAGAGAACCACTTATTTCGATGATCCACCTGGAAAAAGAACGTCCTCCACTATACCTTTAAAGCATGAATTTACTGTTTAAGGTAAAATGAAAAAGTTCAGTGTTTGGAACTGATCCATGATCCCATATAAGTGAAGTTGCCCCCAATGCCTTCTCCAATCCCATCATAATTGGTGTCAACAATTTCATTTTTTGTCTGCGGCACCAGGTTTTCCTGCAAATGGCAATCAGCTGAGCACAGAGACACTTTAGATGAACTCTGGAAACTTTTATTAAAATCTTTAAAGCAAAAGAGTGTATATAAAAACTTGATGCACAAAGGAGCCACATTTTATTGACACCCCTTTAGTACGGGGGTTGATTCACTCAGGTCAGGATAGTTGGTATGTAATAAATAGACCTGGAGCATTAGTAGGAAAATTAATCCCCTATCATGATCCCTGCCCCACCATGCTTCAAAGTGCACTGTGGCCTGAATCCAGTTTGGGGATTGGCATTAAACTTAACAAGCTTGTATCTCCAGTTTTTTTTTATTTTTTTTTTACCCCCGATAATCTTGATTTATTGTGGCTTCTTGCTGAAAGCTTTTAATCATTACATTACTTATAGGTAACACTAGACCCTCTCCAACCAAATGGAGGTGATCACAGACTGTTGTTTTGATTACCGTTTCATCCACTGGAACAGCAGATTTTCTTTTTCACATCAAACTTTATTGATCTCACACTGGAGAAATTTACACTGTTTATAACCCATCC